ATTTCAAAAAAAGAAAAAAAAAAAAAAAACATCGCGCCAGTATCCTTTCTCGCAAAGGACCCCTTCGTGAGGGGCCGCGCGTTTCTGCGCCTGCCCCGGTTGAAATCTCAAAAAAAAAAAAACTCGCCGCAGGGGGTGGGGGGGGGGGGGTGTCGCGGAGAAGGGCGTTGGACAGCAATCGCCGCGCTTAGAACGAGGCGGGCAGGTTCTGGACAGGCGGCGGCGGCGGTTGGGGGGCGGGGTGGGGGAGGGGGGGGGGGGCGGAAGGGCACGTGGCAGAGGAGGTTGCAGGGTCCCCTCCAGGAGGGGCGCGGCACAGAGAAATATCGTGTAGCCTCATCCGTTCGTTTCCGTAGCGCTGGCTCAAGGCACATCCGTAGTCGCATTCGCCTCCCGCGAGGGGGCTCGAGGGCCGTCGGCATGCTTTCGAAGCGTAAGTTGCCTTATGACAGGCTGCAGTTGCCGCCGCAGAGGCGGCTGAGAGCGAACGTGGAGGACCTGATCAGCAGCAGCGCGATCAGCGGGCAGCGCGGTGCTCAGTTGATCAATGACGCCGTCTCTGCGTCTGCGGCAGGCGTTGCCGACCTGCAGACCTCTGAGACCACGCGGGGCATGAAAAACGCTGCCAGGAGATTCAGGCGCCAGTTCTTCAAGAAGGGGTGGCCTCCGCTGTATCACTGTAAGGTGAGGGGCTGGGGCCCCAAGTCTGAAACAGAGCAGCTGATGGATATTGCTATGATGCTTCCGCGCGAAATCCTGGCTAAGCTACATCATTTCGGCGATGAGAGCGTGCTTCTGGAGACGTCGAGCCTCGACGGCGTGTCTTTGCGCCACGTGCAAAAAGCGAGGGCTGAGAGCGGTTGCGACGATCTCGTGGCCTTGGGCGCGTGGCAGGACGGAGTCCCCTGCTTCTGGGACCGATCAATGAGCGCAGAAATCATCAGCATCATGCTGCCAGGTGCTGCAGGCCGCTGGAAAAACATGCGCGCGCCGTTGAACTGCGTTCCTCAAAGAGCATGTTGGCCCCAACACATTTGATGATATCTTCGCCGTGGTGCAATGGAGTTTAATTCATTTGGCTGTGAAGCGCTGGCCGACGGCGCGGCACGACGGGCCCCCTTTTGTCGTGAACACAGACACCTGGAGGAAGCGCCAGCAGGGTTCTTTACCGATTGGCGGGGTGATTTGCCAGATCAAGGGGGACTGGAAGATGATGAAGGAGGTGCTCAAGCTACCTGGCTGGCAGGACGACGAGATTTGCTTCCTGTGCAACGTCGAGAAGGGCGAGGCCCGTGGGTACCCAAACCATCACGGGAACTTATAAGTCAAAATCCCCTCTTGGAGGGGGTGGGTGGGATGAAAATCCCTTTCGAGGGAGGGAACTTATGGAGGAAACCGTCTTGCCCCCCTGCTACAGGAGATCGTCGTCTTGCGGGCGGGAAGGAGAGGGGGAAGGAGGGGGGGGGGGGAGGAGGGGGGAGGATGGGGGGGAGGAGGAGCAGGAGGAGAAGGAGGAAGAGGAGGAGAAGGAGGAGGAGGAGGAGGAGGAGCATAGGGAGGAACAGGAGGTGGGCGCCACCGCTTTGAGAATCCCCCATTCAGGTGAAGTCGCAGACTGGGAGAGACGCGCCGTGGAGAACAAACCGCCGCACGCGGTCGGACATCATTTGGAAGATCGTTGCTTCAGGCGAGACTGTGTGCCCTCTCTTCCAAGTGCCGTTGCAAGCGAGAAGCTGCTGAAGTTAGACTGGCTGCGCGTCGTTGACCTTGGAGCGGCGGCTGACTTCATCGGCGGCTTGGTCTGGTACCTCGTAACGCACAGAAAGGTTGCAGGAGCTGCTCAGAAAGCCCGCGTGCTGACGCTGCATCGTCATCCGATGGCGTTCTACGACGGGCAGCCACCAGGTGAGGAGACCGGCCGCTTGCCGAAGCTGACGCGGGGCGTCGTGAAGGGGAAGAAGGCGAAGACGGCTAAGATGAGGTGCGGCGCGGGGATGCTCAGGCACATGGTTCCATGGGCGATGGAAATTGCGGATGCATTCCTTGATCGTCGGGATGGCGCCGGCCAGCGGGCAGCTGTGGAATCGTCAATTCACGCCGGGGTGAAAAGCTTGAGTCGGCGTTGCGACGCGCTATCTGATAACCATCCATTTGCTGTAAATCTTCTTCGTGAGCATTCAATGAAGTTTGGCACGCAGGTGGCAGCTTTGGAAGAAGCGCCCCCAACGCATTTCAAAGTTAAGCCGAAAATGCACACGTTCCAGGAGCTCTGCATGGAAGGCGGCGAGCCAGCGAAACACTGGAATTACAGGGGCGAGGATTTCGGTGGATCTGTAGCCGCTTTTGGCCGAAGGCGGGGTCAGAAGAGATCCATGAGGGCATTTTCGCTGGCATGCATCGCGAAGTTCTGTGGCCAACCGATTCTGCGCGCGCTTTGAAAGAAACACTTTGGGCATCATCATTGTCATCATGTACGAAGCCCCTCCCAGTTGGGGTTTTGAGACCCCTCCCAGTTGGGGCTCGAACCAATTTAAAGCACAAATCCTGTGTCGAACTATTTTTTCCCTGCGCAGAAAAAAGATCAACCCAAACAACAGTTCCACCCCCGCAGCATAGTACAGCCAGGCATTATAGTACAACTTTGGAATCTCAAGGAATAGCCTTATAGCCCTACCACTCTATAGCCCTATAGCTCAATCGCCCTATAGCCCTGATAGGGTTTTTTTGCGGTCTCATTATTTGTTCGACACGTCTCTCTTCTCTCTCTCTCTCTCTCTCTCTCTCTCTCTCTCTCTCTCTCTCTCTCTCTCTCTCTCTCTCTCTCTCTCTCTCTCTCTCTCTCTCTCTCTCTCTCTCTCTCTCTCTCCTCTCTCTCTCTCTCCTCTCTCTCTTCTCTCTCTTTCTCTCTCTATATATATATATGGTCCAGGGCTTGGGCCCCCCCACCCCCCAATGCTGATGCCATTGGGCCCCCCCCCCTCACGATGGTCCCCCCCGCCCCCCCCTGCGCACGTGACGTGGTGCTGCGCTGCGGTGCCCCCCTCCCCCCCCTGTGGATATGGTGTGGTGCTGTGGCGGTTCGGAGGTCGTCGTCGTCGTCGTCGTTGTCGTCGTCGTCCTCGTCGTCCTCGTCAGCCTCGTCGTCCTCGTCGTCCTCGTCGTCGTCGTCGTCGTCCTCGTCGTCGTCGTCATCGTCGTCGTCGCCGTCGTCATCGTCGTCATCGTCGTCGTCGCCGCCGCCGCTGCCGGCGTCGTCGCCGCCCCAGCCGTCGTCGTCGTCGTGGTCGTCGTCGTCGTCGCCGTCGTCGTAGTCGTCGCAGTCGCCGTCGCCGTCGCCGTCGCCGTCGCCGTCGCCGTCGCCGTCGCCGTCGTCGTCGTCGTCGTCGTCGTCGTCGTCGTCGTCGTCGTCGTCGTCGTCTCTGGGACCATACCATCTGGGGGGGGGGCCCGAGGAATCCTGGGACCATACCATCTGGGGGGGGGGGGCGGCCCGTGGGCCCGGAGCCCAGGATCGTATACATATATATATATATATGTATATACATACATACATACATAAATACATACATATATATATATATGTATGTATATCGATCTGTCTGCATCCAGTTTTACAGTGCCGGTTCGTGTTCGCCCGCTCGGCGTGCTAACCTAAACGCTCTCCCGACGAGTGTCTTCACGCGGCACGCCCGCCGTACCCGGCGCCTTGGGCAGGGGCGGCAGGCGAGACGGCAGCCGAGCTTGCTGTGTGCCAAGCCTCCCTCGAAGTCGGGCGTGTCCCTCCACAGGAGGAATGTTCAGTAATAGTTTAACAATCATCTTGGGACGATGTTTCTAGTATTCTTGTGAGTGTGTTTTGGCTATTTCTAAATTTTCGTCCAAAATCCGCCTGTAGGAGGACGCGCCCGACCTAAGCCTCCCTCCCTGTTCCCCTCGGAGGAGGGGCAGTCGAGACCATTGCTGCCCTCCCTGGATTGCTTTCGTCCTTCCTGGGGCTACTGGAGGCTTCTCTCGGCGACTTGGATCCGTCACGTGATGCGAATCGGAGGAGGAACAGGAGGAGGATATAAAAAAGAGGAAGAGGAGGGGGATTCCGTGGGGAGGGGGGGAACTTGCGGATTTTGTGGGGAAGGGGGAACTTCGCATCACGTGACGAAATTCCTCTGCAGATTCTCGTCGCCACGGCTGGACCGACCCGCTTCGAAAAGCGTATCAGGATTGACCCCAGCAGGGGTCCAGGGGCCGATTCTCGCGGGCTGCTTGTGTTGGGCCGCCTCTGAATGCTCGCCCTTCTCCCCCCCCCCCGCGGCCGCCTTTTCCTTTCCCTTCTTGCATGCCGGCCAATTCGCTTTGTAGTGCCCCCGCATCTCTGCCACGCTGGAGCGGATTGTCCCGCCTCCGCCGACGGAAGACGTGTTGGGCGGGAGGGCCGCCGTTGTCTCACCTGGCCGTTTTCCGATACCCACGGCGTGCACTTTGGCGGGGTGGCGTGCCAGAGTGCAACCGGGGGCGCCATTAGCAGCAAGTATCCTCCCTTCCCTCTTGGTGTGGTCATGTCAGAAGTAAAGCAAGATCTGCGCGGAGCCATCGAAATGGGCACGCAAATAATGCATATACAGACCGACATCAGTTCATGCCCATGTTGGCAAGGACTCTCCGCCGGTGTTCGCCGCGGGCGGTGTGCAATTGAGACATCTAGTCGCCTGCCCAACAGCGGCCGTTGCCGGTGTTCGACTTTATCTGCTGTTGGGCATCGTACAGCCACGACGGTGAAACATGAATCACTTGGGGCTTAGGAGGGGCACCGGTATTCGGGCTGTTCCTTGAATGTAGGTCGGGGAGCCTAGGCTCCCGTGGCCGAGGCTCGCCGTGGCCATGAAAGGCGCCCTTGTTCCTTGTTTAGCGCTCCTCATCGTACCGCGATGGCTGTAGTCTGATGTTCCGTACCTGTTTCGGGCGTGCCAGTCCTCTCCCCCACATTTTTGTTCGCCCGGGCGGAGGTCCATTTTGGGGGCAGCGCCAAGCCGCTGCAGTGGCAGACCAGAGACACGGCCCTCGCGCAGCTGAAGGAGTGGGGCGTGCTCGACGAGGCCGGCCCTGCGCGGCCACCATTGGCTCGAGGGAGGGAGGGTGGGGGCACACCTCCATGTGATCGATCCGATTCGATTCCAACTGCGGCCGGCCCGATCCGATCCGACCCCGTTGCTGTGGCGATCCGATTCTCCGGCGTGCCGATGTTTTGGCGTTCTGATGGCGCGACTGTGCCTCCTGGCGCGGGTCGTCCGTTCCGGCCCGACTCCGACTCCGCGTCGACGTGTGCCGATCTGGCGCCATGTCCCGATCCGATCCGATTGGACGAGTCGATGCTGACCGCTCCTGGAGGGAGGAGCCGGGAGGAAGGAGGGAGAGTCAGGAGCAACGTTAGTCGAGGGCAGCCAAGAGGGGGGTGATGACTAGGGGAGGGTGGATATCATGGCCAGGGTCATGATATCTTCCCTGATTTCATTGCCCCTCTTCTTATTCCAATACGTTCCCTGGCCCCCCCTGGTCCGCGCACATGCCTCGGGCCATGATTTGCACCCCCCCCTGTTGGACGCCCCCCTCTTGGACGCCCCCGAGTTAGGGAAGGATGGCTGAGGGGGGGGGGGGCGCATCGACCGCCAAATCGCCGCTTGATCGCCTATCGGGGCCGGTAGCCCACACCGCCCAGGAGATTCGCTATCGGCTTCCTGTCGCCGATCTATCGGCGACGTATCGCCGATTCCAGGTCGATGCTTCCCCTCCTCAAATTCCTTCGCCTGCCAGCGGGGGTCAGCATTCTAGGGGTCAGGAAAAGGTGAGCTCAATTCCTTCGGTTTTTCTTGCTCGGGGCCGTGCTTTTCTCAAAAGCTAGTTCCTTGCACATTCCTGGGAACCTCCTCTTGGAAGTCTTGGCCTAGGGCGTATTTTCTTATGATACTGACCCCCAGAAGTCGGCCACGCGCAGAGGGGGGTAGGCGGAGGGGGGAAGGCTTCTTGGAAGCACCCCTTATTCCTAGAAGGCGCGGGCCCTCTCTGGAGTGCTAAAGATGTTAGGCCTGCGCCTTCCAAGAAGCAGCCTCCTGAAAAGCCTTTCCCCCCTCACCCTACCCCCTCTGCGCGCCGCCAAAGTCTGACTCTCATCAGCAGGCGAATGCGAGCCGCCGCCGCCGCCGCCCCCCCCCCCCCCCTGACGCTGCTCTCTGGTCGGGTGTTGCTAGACGTGCCCCTGACCCAAGGTGCCCCCAGAATTCCCAAGGAGGCCCCCACGGCCTCCAGAGCACCCCTCACGAGGCCACGGCGGCGCCAGGGCCTCCACAATGAAGCGAGAAGCTGCGGGCACCTTTGGCCAGGGATTACCTCTCGCAGCCGCCGACCTGGAGAGCCAGGAGCCAGGAGGGCGGGGAGGGCGGATCTCTGGCGGGTGGTAATGAGGGGGTGGCCCAAATGGCACCAACTGGCTCCAGAAGGGGGCACTAAGAGGCCCTCCAGGGCCCTTGTCTTCCTTCACCCTCCATTGAAGTCGCGAGGAGGAGGGGGAGGAAGAGGAGGAAGAGGAGGAAGAGGAGGAGGAGGAGGAGGAGGAGCAAGAGGAGGAGGAGGAGGAGGAGGAGGAGGAGGATGAGGAGGAGGAAGAGAAATAATGGTAATAATAAACATCATAATACTATTAATACTACTACGACGAATAATATAATAAGAAGAAGGGGAGGAGGAGGAGGAGGTGGAGGAGGAGGCGGAGGAGGAGGAGGCGGAGGAAGAGAGGGGGGGGAATGAGGAGGAGGAGGAGAAGGAGGAGGAGGACGACATTACCACCGCCCGAAGGGGAGGGCGGATCGGAGGAGCAGGGGCCCAGAGGATCGGAGGAGCAGGCCTCCAGAGGCTCCTCGGGGAGCCCTCTGGGGCCCCATCGCGGGGACCTCCGGGGGCCAGAAGGGGGAGGTGGCGTGGGGAGAGAAGAGGAGGGAGGTCAGAGGAGGAAGAGGTACCCATACCCCTACCCTTCGCCCGTTTTCCTATGTTTCGTCATCCTTGGAGGCCTTCGTCGCCACCGCTGGATTTGCCTCGAAATTCTGGTCAGAACGCACACCAGGAGAGGTCTGGGGAGTAGCGGTATCATAACTTGAGGTTCCCTAGACGAGGAGGGAGGTGATGATGCGACGCGCGCGCGCGGCTTCGCGAGGAGCGTGCTCGATGGGTGAGGACGGAGGACCAGGCGGGTGGCGCACTGGATCACACGAGGATCCACCGCCTACGCCACCGCCTGGCCTAACTTAGCCCCCGGAACGCAACAGATCGGGGGGCCTCCCCCCCCCGCGGGGGCCTCCTCGAAGAGGAAGGAGCCCAGGAGACCTGGGCTGGCAGTCCACGGAGCGCTGGCAGCATGCTCGAGACTCTTGCGACGCTCCCGCCTGGCGCGGGCCTCGCGCCTGTTAGCCTCGATCCGAGAGCGTTGCTCCTAGGTCAAGGCAGGGGGAGGAGGAGGAGGGGGAGGAGGGACAAACGACGGCGTCGACGACGGGTCGAGGGGAGCGCAAGGAGAAGGGTGAGCGGGGCTGGCCAAAAGGGCCGCAGCAACCACGTTCTGCATATCAAGATCAGCCCGCTCGTCATCCGCATCTCTGCAGTCCTGCTCATCGGGCCTCGGAGCAGGACTGGGATCTGAGGTCACACTGGCCTCAGCGCAAGGTTACTCATCAGGTTCGCGAATCTACCTGTCAGATTCGGGATCCACCTTCCTGCGAGGACCAGGAAACGCTTGTCGGCTCCTCGCTCCTAGGAACATAGCATAGCTTGAGACCTTCTAAGACTTCCTCGGAGTCAGGCTGGCAAACACCATCCGGGTCCTCATCGGGACTGGGAAGCACAGACATGACCGAGGAAAAGCAGCACGGGCAATGGCCTGACAAAGGCCAACAGGGTAAACCTTTTTTGCAAGCTGTTGTGAAACGCTGTTGCCTACCTTTGCCGAGCAGAGTCATGTGAACAGATCGTCCATGGGAACATCGGCCACCTCCAGGAGTGAACTTCAACTGTGCTTGTAACTCTGGCATTGTATACCGATGATGCGAGTGGGCGCTCTACCGACCGAGGACAAATCGGTGGCGGGGGCCACGTGTTCGCACTGGTCAAAATCCGCAGCACTCGAATGGGCAGCAGAAACTAACGCAATGAGCCGGGCCAACGGAAGGAGGCGGGATCATGGGAGAGCCAGTCGGAGGGTATGGGGTGCTCTCCCCACCCCGCCGTGCCAGCACGCAACTGTTCGGAAAGGAGGGCGACAAGGGCGAAAAGCAGCTGAGCGCCGACCCGGAGCAGCTCCCCTTGCCTGGGAGCGCAGTCGGGAATTCCCCAAACGCGCGAGGTCGTCCTGAGTGGCGGGGGGCCCCCTTCGTACCACCTCGCAGCCGTCCAAGTCTCGCAAGGGGGGCCCCCGCCCGAGTTGAACATCCTCCTAGCTCGAATGTGCTCGACCCAGACTTCGAGAGCGCTTTCGCAGATCAAATCTCCGCGAGTCGCGTCGATATCAATATCGAGAGACAAACAGTACAAATCGAAACTGGGGGCGGCATGAGCAAATTCGAGATCCCATGGTATGTCTCCAGAGCGCCTCATACCAGAGAAAAAGGTTCAAAATAAAACTGGCATAACGTCGGATTTTGTAGGGCAGACCGAGCGCGGCGACGCCTTGGAAATCCTGTGGCCTGAACGGCCAGAAACGGTCATCCAGGGTCTCGGGGCCGGCAGTAGCCAACGATTCGGCCGGCTCAGGGCCAGAAAGGGCAACTGTGGCCATGACGGCGTCGTCGGTGAAAACGTAGCCAGACTCAAATAAGGGAACGGGCCTCAGAAACGCTCAGAAGAGGGAGAACCTGCTGCTCGAAGCCAGTAGCTGGCCTGCTCGGGGGACCCTCGAAGGCTGGATGCTCGTGGCGCCATCTACCAAGACCTGCCTTGCGGTGTGCCACTGCGTCCGCCGCAGCCTTCTCGTTCAGCAGAGCAACTGCGTCAGCATTGATGCCAGGACCGTGCGCTAGAACTGCCACGGCACAAACAGGAGAATCCTTAGTTAGGTGCTCCACAAGACCACGAATCTTGGCGAATACCATGTGACAGTAGGTGCTAGAGGTGCCAGGCCCAAGTGCATTACGTATGATATCTGCTTGGGAACGGTGCATGTAGGCAATATATTGACGGAGGCCACGTATCATAAAAAACTCTGTAGGACACCATAAGCACTGATACCGGGGAGCCTCTTGAGCACGCAGAGGGTGTAGGGGGTCAGACGGGTCTGGGAACACCAGCATCGTATAGCACCTGAAACATCGCGTCCTTGGCGGTCTCGGCCAAGATGTTGCGGCGGTGATGAGCAACAGCACTTGTGAGAGCAGCACGGATCAGCCGCTTCCATTTGAGTAAAGAGCGGCGGACAAAAGCTTCCCATGGGCTTAGATCTTCCCGAGGGGCTGTCAATTCTTGCACGATTTTAGAAGACTTGCGAAGCCACATAAGATCCTCCACCACCTGTCTGACCCATGAATGCTGGGTAGGTGGGGTTTCACAGTACACAGTTCCCGCTAGTGCCATGAGATGGAAGGGGCCATTGCAAAGCAGGCGGCCGAATAGGCGTAAACGATGGGCGGTCAAGCACATGTCCAAAGACGGCCTTGAAACATTGCCAAGCACCTGTGCGTTGCTCATGGCGGAGGAGGGAGGAGGGGAGGGAGGAGGAGGAGGAGGTGCGGGAATCGCGAGCGCGTGTGTGAGACATCGAGTCCGAGGGGCCACTGAAGGGAGTGCAATGCCTGATTAGGAGGAGAGGTCAACTACGGCAGCACAACAGAAGAGTTGGGTGTTTCTTCCCATCACCTTCACAGGAGCTGGGTTTGGTTGAACTTGCTGTCTCCTTCCTTGTTCTGTCTCTCTCTCTCTCTCTTCCCCTCTTCCTCCCACCTGATTGTTGAGCACGCGCGGTTTGAGACAACTTGCTGGCTCTTTTCAATGCCGGTCCGTTTGGATATGGGGATTTTTGCTGTGGGCTGCAGGGATCGATGCGCATCGCTAGTCTCCTAGCGACCCTGCCACGGTCCACTGCACGTTTGTTCGTCGCCTCTTTGGGTTGTAGTCGCGGGTTTTTCGAAGCACGTGTCCCTGGGGGATCCAATCGCGCAGGGTCGCGTAGGATTCTGGCTCATCTGTGGGGCATTCCTTCGATGCAGTCACCCGTTTGGGCTGTCGGGCGCTGCAGGCAATCACGGCGGGCCAGGCGAGTGTCTGGCGAGTCGCATCGGGACATCAGTCCCGTTTCTAGGTGTGTAGAAGAGAAGGGTAGCCGCAGGGGTACGGCCGATACGCAGAGAGAGAGAGAGAGAGAGAGAAAACACAAAGAAAGAGAGAGAGAGAGAGATAGAACGAAAGAAAGAGTGTCTAGCGAACGGGGCAGGGGCCATGGCCTTGGCATAGCAGGGCGGTGTGATGGCGCCGCTTGCGGGGCCCCGAAGTTACACAAGGACATCGCAGTCGCCGCAGTCACGATGCATGCTGCCGTCGCTCGACCCACGATTGTTCAGCATTCTTCCCCGCAAGGTCAGACGTCCAGTGGCCTTCGGCCATCGGCCATCCTCACGCGGTTGTGCTTGGGTCGTGGAGGCTTCTTTCGGAGAACCCCTTCGCGGCCTTTGGGGGAGCCAGCCTGGGGGAGGCGGCTCCCTCGCCTGCCCCGTCCGTGGCACTCTCGGGGCAGGTCGGGGTGGCCCCTTGGGGCCGTCTGGGGAGGCTTATTGCGCCGTCTTTGGGGCCTTCGGGGGGGGGGCTCTCGAGCCGCCTCTGGGCGCTGCAGGTCGGCAGTGTTCGTCGGTTCTCGCGGTGCGTTCTGGCAGCTGCGCCTCGCCGAGGACATGCCGGGAGTGCCAGGATCATCCCGAACGGCCATTTGCGGTACGAGTGATGGCCCGAACAACGAACATCCTGGCGGTACGCCGCCCCACATCGCCCTTTCTTCCCCCATTCTTTAGGCTTCGCCTCCCACCCCCACCTTGTGGAAGTTTCATCGCAACGCTGTAGCTTGGCACGGCTATAGCGAAGCAGGGGCGACGCGTTGTTTCGTAGGAGTCTGCGAGGGTTGGAGGAGGTGGAGGAGGAGGAGGAGGAGGAGGAGGAGGAGGAGGATGGGGCAGGAGCAAGATTAGCGCGGGAGCAGGGGGTGCCGATCGACCGCGGCCGGCAGGTGAGTGCCGACTTCTTGTCGAAGGCCCCAGAGCATTGCGCGAAGGAAATCATAGGACATGGCCGTTGTTGTTGTTGTTTGGAGAGTTGGTCGGGTGGTGGGAGGTGGACGTGGTTTCGGGGAGAAGTGACAAGGGTGGAGTTGGGAGTAGGGGTTCGGACCGAGCAGGCGGGGATTAGGACACGGATGGGTATGGGGGGGATTTAGGGTTGAGGTGGGGGATGGGCGGGGGAGGGGTGGGTACAAAGCACGACGGCCGTCATGTCCTCCTCATTTGATATATATGTATATGTGTATATATATATGTATATGCCATGAGGGTTGTTTGGAGTGGGGGCGAGGTTTGGTACTGAATTGGTCAGCGACAAGAGTGCGAGCGGTTGTTGGGGTTGTGGGGGTGGGGTTTGTGGGCATGAGATTGGCAGTGGGGATTGGGAAACTGGAGCTTAATCGAGACAGGGGCGGCGGGCGGACAACAATTCAGATGTGGCGTGAGCGCGCCTAGCTTGCCCATCCCCATCTGCACTTACAGTTCTTTCCACCTCTCGCCTTCTTATCCGGCCCCCTCCTCATGCGTATACGGACGGCCTGATCGGGCAGGGTTTTACCGTCATCCTTCTCCTGGGCCGAGGCCGTGCCTCAATTTTGTTCTCCATGGAAGCGCAAGAGCTGCAATTCGCATTCGCAGTGCAATCCGCCGGGCTCCATGATGCCGTTGTTTTTCCGTGGGACAACGCGTCCAGAGGAGGAGGAGGAGGAGGAGGAGGAGGGGGGGGGAGGAGGAGGAGGAGGAGGAGGAGGAGGAGGAGGAGGAGGAGGAGGAGGAGGAGGAGGAGGAGGAGGAGGAGGAGGAGGAGGAGGAGGAGGAGGAGGAGGAGGAGGAGGAGGAGGAGGAGGAGGAGGAGGAGGAGGAGGAGGAGGAGGAGGAGGAGAGGAGGAGGAGGAGGAGGAGGAGGAGGAGGAGGAGGAGGAGGAGGAGGAGGAGGAGGAGGAGGAGGGAGGAGGAGGAGGAGGAGGAAGAGGAGGAGGCGGAGGAGGAGGAGGAGGAGGAGGAGGCGGAGGCGTGTGGCAAGTTCCGCAACTGCGCCAATGGAGGCCTGCGGGGCGGACTGCAAGGGCCACCCAGAATATTTTGTCGAAACGCGCGGCTGTTTCTGTTGTCCCTGGGCTCAGACCGTAGACACGCTAACGGCGATGCAAGCAACGGCGATGTAGATTACGGTATCGTGGGAACGCGTGGCTCGTGCTTCCCTACAATTCGCTGTGTCGTCTTCGCTCGATACGTTCGCACGCTGGAGATGTAGGAGAGTGCGACTCGCTGGCAGCGTCACAGCGTCCCCATGCACTAGATATATTGCTCCAGAGTTTGGCAGGACCTGTCATATTAGAGGAGGCGCTGCTGGCGCACGGCGATCTGCGAGGGAGGAGGAGGAGGAGGAGGAGGTGCGGAGGAGGATGCAAGAGCTAGCTGAGAAAGGTGGCGGAGGATCGAGGAGCGGAAAGGGAGGTATATTACTCGTCTTCAGGCCACGGTAGCGATTTACCAGTCCGACCCCGTGTTGCCACCTTGGCACGCAACGTACAGTGAGCGGCTTGACTAAGGAACACTTAGTTTTTCAAAAGGGGCTCGGTCGTTTATCGTTCCTTATGCGCTATTTCTTATGTTTTGTTCCTTATGCGTTACCCCTTGGGAAAACAGGGAGCTTCGTTCCTTCTTTTCGTTCCTAAGATGGCCGATGACTGTACGCATACTGCCCGCAGGATCCATCGGGCCAGAGGTGAGGAACCCTTCCGCGTTCGTGACGCGCAAGGCGAGCTGGCCTCGGCGCCTCGACGCTGCCGCGGGTCTCTCTCTCTCTCTGCGTTTCTGTTCGTGCCATCGTTCTTCGGCATTGTTCTGGATCGTTCTACGTTTTTTCCGTTCCGCCTCGACATTGTTGTGGGTCGTTCTGCGTTTTTGTTCGTGGCATTGTTATTTGGCATTGCTCTGGATCGTGCTACGTTTTTTCGTTATGCCTCGACATTGTTGTGGGTCGTTCTCTACGTTTTTGTTCGTGCCATCGTTAGTCGACATTGTTCTGGATCGTTTTACGTTGTTGTTCGTTATGGATCGTTCTGCGACGTTCCACAATCACTGATTGCACTGAAGGGGTCCTAGCGGAAATCGAAAGATTTGGCGAAATTGTCCCGCCGATTTTGGTGGCCGGTTGGGTGCCCAGGTTCCTGGTTCCGGGTTTACGAGTTCCTGGTTATTGGTCCCGGGCCGGCTTCGGTGGGTTCCCCGTTCCCGGGTTCCTGGTCGATCTCCTCATCGATCAAACCATCCACTGATTTGGGTTTTTCTCTGGTGTAATGTTCGTTGTGGATCGTTCCGCGACATCGTTATGGGTCGTCCCTGCGGTGCCAGTGTGACGTGAAAGGGTTATAGCTGTTCTCACAGCGGCGCGGCGAGGCTGGTGCCATGCTGTGCCTTGATGTGCCTGCGCTCTGCTGTGGGGTGCTCGTCTGCTCGTCCCTCCGCGACCGCTCCATCGGCCTGCTCGGGAACCTCCAGGCATGCGACACGTGTGCGAGACACAGGTCGAATGCAGCAATGAGCATGAGCTGCTGGAGGCCCGCGCGGAGCTCTTGGGTCAGCGCCGCCCCCCCCCCCAGCCCGATTTCCTCACGTCTTGGGCCCCGGGACCCTCGCGGATCGCTCCTGCAACGCCGGAGCTCAAGAGGAGGAGGGGGGGGGACCGGCCCAGGGGGGGGGGAGCCTCGACCTCCGATGGCCCACTCCTCGCCGATGGGGGCCCGGGATGCTCCCTTCCCCGCCCAAGAACGCGCGTTTTCACGATTGCGGGCCTCTCGCCGATGCATCGGCGAGTCGACGCCTCCCCCCCCGGGAGCCCTGAGCCAGTTGCGGGGTCCCGGCACACCAGTTGCGGGAGCGCCGGTCCCGTGTGGGGGATCACCTTGGGCTGGTGGGGGGGAGAGGGGGAGGACGAGACGGTGGAAGGAGTAGGGGGATGAGAAAGAATGAGGAGACGAGAGAAATGACGAGAAGCAACAGTCGCAGCAGGATGGAGAAGGGAAGGTGGAGGGGAGGAGAGAGGAGAGGAAAGCCAGGTGCGCTCGCGCCTCGTCTGACGTCCTGTCCCTTCCTCCCATCCCTGCCCATGGCGCTGATTTGTTTCTATCCGGACGGGTGTCATAGCCGACCTGCGACTCCTTCAGACAGACCACTTCGTGTGATGCGCAATCGGAAGAAGGGGAGTTGCGTGCACATGAGGAGGTGGAGGAGGTGGCGGGTAAGCAGGAGGATGAGCGGGAGGAAAATAATGAGGACAAATAGCAGCAGCAGCAGCAACTAAAGCGGAAGGAACGGGAGGAAAAAGAGGACCAGGGGAAGGGGGACGAGGAGAAATGTGGGGGTGACGATGAAGAAAGACTCGGATTCAGAACGGTGGCCCGCGCTTGGGCGAGCAGGAGCAGGGATTGGTGTGGAAGGGGCGGGAGGGAAAGTGGGCCAGGGGAACGCGGAGGAGGGGAAATGAGGGGGGGACCACAATCAAGCAAGACTCGGAGCTCGCGCTGGGGCGAGAGCGCCAGTCTGAACGACGGGAGCAACGTTCCGATCCGACACTGAGACGCACGCTGCATCGTAAGCACCATTTTGACAAACCGAAATTAATCGGATGGTTAACAATCAGACGGACAAGAACTTGTATCACCTATGTGAAGGTGCGCGTTCTGTGGTCGCTTGGAGGGGGGGGGGGTGGAAACGGATCCCCCCTCCCCCTGCATGGAGGGGGGGGTTCGAACAACCCCCGCCCCCCCCCCCTCTTCCTGTGACGGAAGGGGGGGGGTTCAAACCCTCCCCCCCCTTCCCTATGTTTCCTTTTCTTCCTTTCCTCGGGCCAGCGCTTGCGTCGGCGGCGGCTGGCGGCGGCGGCGGGGGCGACGAGTTCCTTTTCTGGGCCGGCGCCGGCGCCTGCGGCGGCGGGCGCCGGCGGCGGGGAGCGTCGACGAGGACGGCGGCGACGACGATGACGACGACGACGCTCCGCCACTGTGCCCTGGTTTTGGGTCAGAGTCCTGATGGATGCCTCTTGGGATCTCGTCGGAGGGCTCTCGGGGGCCTCTGAAGGGCATTTGTGATGCCTCCTGGGCGCCCGTTGTTTCTTGGGGCCTCTCTGAGGTGGTGGTGGTGGGCTGTGGTGGTGGTGGTGGTTGTGGCCGTGGTGGTGGTGTTGGTGGTGGCAGTGGTGGTGGTGGTGGTGTGGTGGTTGGTGGTGGTGGCGGTGGTGGTTGTTGTGTTGGTTGTGGTGGTGGTGGTGCGGTGGTTTCTGGTGGTGGTTTCTGGTGGTGGTGACGGTAGTTGTGGTGGTGGTGGTGGGTTAAGGTGGTGGTGGTGGCGGTGGTGGTGTGGTGGTTTGTCGTAGTGGTTGTGGTGGTGGTAGTGGTTGTGACGGTGGTGGTGGCGGGTTGTGGTGGTGGTGGTGGCGGTGGTGGTGGTTGTTGTGGTTGTGGTGGTGGTTTGTTGTGGTGGTGGTGGTTGTGGTGGTGGGTGGTGCTGGTGGTGGTGGTTGTGGTGGTGGTGGCGGTGTGGTGGTTTGTGGTGGTGGTGATGGGTTGTGGTGGTGGTGGCGGTGGTGCTGGTTGTGGTGGTGGTGGTATCGTTGTTTGTGGCGGTGGTAGTTGTTGTGTTGGTGGTTGTTCTTGGTGGTGGTGGTGGTTTGGTGGTGGTGTGGCGGTTGTTTGTTGTGGTGCTGGTGGGTTGTTGGGGTGGTGGTGGTTGTGGTGGTGGTGGTTGTAGTGTGATGGTTGTGGTGTTGGTGGCGGTGGTGACGTTGGCGGTGGTTTGTGGAGGTGGTACTGGTGGTGGCGGTGGTGGCGGTGGTGGTGGTGGTGTGGTGGTTTGTGGTGGCGGTGGTTGTGGTGGGATGTGGTGGTTGTGGTGGTTGTGGCGGTGGTGGCGTGGTGGTGTCATAGATTGTGGTGGTGGTGGTGGTGGGTTGTGGTGGTGGTGGTGAGTTGTTGTGGTGGCTGTGGTAGTGTCTGTGGAGGTGGTTGTCGTGTGGTGGTTTGGTGGCGGTGGTGGTGGGTTGAGGTGGTGGCGGTGGTGGTGGTACTGGTGGTGGCGGTGGTGGTGGTGGCGTGGTGGTTTTATGGTGGTGGTGGTGCTGCTGGTAGCGGTGCTGGTGGTGTTGGTGGGTGGCGGGTGGTGGGTGGTGGTGGTGGTAGTGGTGGTTGTTGTGGTGTTGGTGGCGTGGTGGTTTGTGGTGCTGGTGGTGGGTTGTGGTGATGGTTGTCGTGGTGGCGGCGGCTGTGATGGTGCCGGTAATGGTGTGGTGGTCTTTGTTGGTGGTTGCGGTGGGTTGTGGCGGGTTGTGGTGGGTTGGTGTTGCTGGTGGTGGTGGCGTTTCTGGTTGTGGTTGTGCAGTGGTTTGTAGTGATGGTGGTGGTTGTGGTGGTTGTGGCTTGTGGTGGTTGTGGTGATGGTGGTGGTGGTTGTGGTGGTGGCGGTGGTGTTGTGGTTTGTGGTGGTGGTGGTGGTGTTGTGGTTTGTGGTGGTGGTGGTGTGGCCTTCGGCTCATCCCGCCACCGTGTTTGGGCTTCGGGTCAGAGTTTTAATGGATGCCCTTTCTCGAGGGCGTCTGAGAAGCATGCGTGAAGCCTCGTGGACCTTCCTAAGGGCCTCTCGGTGGCTTCTGCGGGGCGAGGGCTCGATATGGCGATATGTGTGTGTTCCCTCTGCGGCCTCTGGGCCCTCTCTGGTAATCGTCGCTGCGTTCCCGCCGTCGGCGCTGCTGGCCACCGCAAGCGCCGGCGCCGGCGCTGGCGCGGGGGGGGGGGGTTGGACCCTCCCACCCCTCCCCTTGGGCTGCCTCTGGTCATCGTCGCTGCGTCCCCGCCGTCGGCGCTGCTGGCGGCCGCCGGCGCCGGCGCCGGTGGGGGAGGGGCTTGAACCCCCCCAATGGGGGGGTGGGGGGGTTCGAAAGGGGCTGGGGATTAGGGGGAGGGGAGTCCCCCTGGTGCTGATCGACGGCGCCGAGTGTTGGGGGGGGGGGGCGCCCCCCCCGGCTCGAGACGCGCCGCCGAACGTTCCCAAGGCAAGCGCCCGTGAAACGCGCTCTTTCTCTCCTGTCTCTCTCTGGAGGGGGCGGGAGATCTCCTTTACAATTTCAGGGAGGAAGGGAGGAGGGAAGGCAGTATTCATAGTGTGCAAAGGCACAGAGGAATGGGATGGGAGGGGGGCAGGGAAGGGAAGAGTGAACAGCCAGGCAGAGTAGGTAGAGTAGAGAGGGGGGAGGGCATCCCTCGCTGGCGCACCTTGGTCCAGCGCCGCCAGGTGAAGGAACTGCAGCAGGCGGGCTTCACGGAGCAGCGCAACGATCGTGGAGGTGTCTTGCGCGCAAAGCGAGGGGAAAGGAAGATGAGTTTTTTTAATTTTAACCCTGGGGACTTCATATCTGAAGCAATTTTGTGGAGGGAGGGAGAAGAGAAGGGGCGAAGGACGAGGAGCAGGAGGAGCGAAGGAGAGGGTGGACGGAGGAAGACGAAGGATGGGCGGGAAGAGGAAGGAGAATTTGCGTCTGACGCAGGAGGAAAAATCCGGAGGAGGATGCCATTGGAAAACGTGGAGGAAGACCAGGATGAGGAAGTGTAGGATCGCGAAAATGAAGAGGAGGAGAAGGAGGAGGAGGAGGAGGAAGAGGAGGAGGAGGAGGAGAAAAAGGAGGGAAGAGGCAGGAGGGAGGAGGAGGAGGAGGAGGAGGAGGAGGGACAGGAAGGAGGAAGGAGGAAGGAGGATGGCGAAGAAGAGGTGGAGGTGGTGGGACGGTGACATGGGACCTGGGTCCGCGCTCACGCTTGCCAGAGCTACCTCCTACCCCTCCAGACCTGTGGGAGGGGGAGGGCAGCTGGGAAAGGGCCCGGCCTCGAAGAAGCCGGCAAACGAGATGGCGCCCGACCAGGGCGCACGCCGCCTGTGCGCCTCGGCCCTCTTGGCCTCGCGGCGGCGGCGGGCCTCGGCGCGCTTGGCGGCGATGAGGTCCAACTGCTCTCCCGTGAGGGGGGCCGGCCGCGGGGGCGAGGGAGGCAAAGGAGGCCGAGGGGGAGAGACGGGAAGGGAGGGGCAGAGCCCCAGCAAATTCTCAGCCTCTAGTTCCTCATCCGATCCTGGCTCATGCATGGGAATATTCATGCTGGGGCTGTCAGGAGCAGGAGTCGGAGCTGGGGTGGTAGCCGGAGTCGGAGCACATATGGGGCCCGTGGGAGTCTCACTGGGATCTTCCTGGAACCTGTGCATCTCTGGGTCGGCTCTCTGCATCTTAGTCATTCCTCCTGCAAAATCTGGTGCAGTCTCGAAGTCCACACCTATCTCTGGCAGGTAAAACTTGCGAAGGTCGGCGCACAGCGCGCTCTCGTCGAATTGCTGATCATCGTTGTCAGCATCTGCATAAATACTCTGAATGGAGGCTGCAATGGCTGCTGCTAAACGTGCACACATCTTCTCGGGATATGTTTTCTTAGCATGCGCCTTAAAGACCGTGCGTCCTCCAACAAGTTCCTTCCCCTGCAGTATTTTGTGCACTCCTCTCCCGTGGTGACACCAGCCATTGCCTGGGCTCTCGCACAGGCGTCGTCGCAAGCATGGCATCCTCAGTCCGAGGAGACGCGTGGGAGCTCTGCCAAACTCCGCTGGGTCTCGATCTGTCGGCTGCAACGTGCATTGGTCAAAGTCGGCCGTGATCGTGATGGGGGCTGAGGCTAGGGCCTCGAGGGGCTCCCAGTGGAAGCTGCTGGGGGCCTCTGGCCTCCAGTGGGCCGGGAGGGGATGTTCAATCCACCCAGAGGTCCCAGCCACCATGTGGCAGCCCAAGAGGAACACTAGGTTCTGCAGTAACGTGTTGGCCGCATGTAGTTGGAGGGCCTGTCGTTCTGAAACCCAAGGGACGCCCCAGAACCACTCATGTGTACGTAAAGGGGGGGGTCCCCCGTCCAGCCATCTGGCCGCGCCCCAGGTTTCACAAGGGGGCCCCGCCCCTGTGTTCCACACCCGTCTGGCCAAGATGTGTTCACCCCACTGTGTGATAGTATCTGTGCGCATGAGATCCCCCAATTCTGTGTCAATGGCTATGTCCACTGAAAGCATGATAATATGGTAGGCTGTCGCAACATGCCCCTGCTCAATCCAGGCCTGCGCGTCGCCTTCGCGTCGCCTGCCTGAGAAAAGGTTGAGCACAAACATCTCCTTTCTGTGCACTCGTATGGGTATCCACTCGGCGGCTGGTCCACTGAAGTCCTTAGTATCTGTCACTGTATGTAAGCCCTTCCTGCACTGCTGGCTGGGGGGATCAGTAAAGAGAGCTGTGTATGCTGATAGTGCAGTAGGTCCTATTTCGTATGCATGTTTACGAAGAAGTTCCTTGGCCTCACTCTCAGAGAAAAGGCTGCTGCAAACATGGCTGCTGGGTATAGCCCTTCCACTGGATATTGTATATGTGCTGGGAATGCTGCTCTCCATCTGCCTAGTCCTGCACAGCGCTGTTTCGCGTGCAGGTCGAGATCTGCTTGTCGCAGCTCCTCTGCCCTCTCTGGAGGGACTGTGGTTCCGTGCAAAATGTAGGCCAGCTGGCACAACGCGGCGTCAAAGGCTAGGTGATCCCTGAGAAGACGCCGAGAGGAGAAAGCCATAGAGCACGCCATGCATACTGACCCTTCCCCCATGAACCTGGATACCACGTGTACCTGGCTGTAATAGACGCGTACGATGTGCTGTCGTGTGCTCTTTGCAGTCATACCCACATAGTCACACCACATGCATCGAAGGTCAACTTGCACCTGCGGGGGGGGGATGGAGAGGGTGATTCACGTTCGTGATCGGTATCGGTACTCCTGCCGGGTGCACAAGCTGAAAGAAATCCTGTTGCGCCTTGTCGGCCAGGGCTGCTCTCGCCGCTGCATCTGCGTGCGCAGCGAGGGTGACGTGCAGAACTTTCTTCCAAGCTGGGAGAGACTGCAATATTCGAACTTCCCATGCCTGGAAGTCCTCAGCTGGATCTGGCATATCACGAAGTCGACAGTTGGTGGTTCGCACCCACTGCAAGTCCTGTAGTACTCTGTGTAACCATGTATTTTTGTGTATGTGCGCCTTGCGGTAAACATGCGTGAGTAGGCTGCGCAGCGTAGGTGTGCCATGGTGTAAGAGGCGACCCCGCAGGCGAAGCCTGTGTACTCTAAGCACCGCACGCAAATCCGCCCGTCGTACCCGTGCCAGTATGAGCCTGTCGGGGTCTGCGTCGGGGTCCTTCTGAGGGGCCCTCAGAACCTGACGATATTTGCTGATGATCAGGTGCTGGAGGTGCGCGTGCTGAGCTTCCGTGAGCTCGGGCCATGTGCCTGCATTGTAGAGGAGGCCCGCGAAAATAAGCGTGTCCACGAAATGCAGTGTGGCCTGTGGTGGGAGCCCAATAAGGGGAGCCAAAGACCCGTCTACGCAGGAGTGTACTAGACGACCGCACAGATGCTTCCCGATGGGCCAACTCGCGCCCGATGGATCCCAATTCGTCCAGCTGCGTGCCCAAGTGCGGGTATGTCCTCACCGCAAGCAGGGTGAAGCGTCCTAGAAGCTCTGATTGGATCTCGAAGCGGCCTTCCCGTTCGAGCCATAACTCCCGTTTGGCACGCTTGGCGCCAACTCCTCTCAGTTGAAACAGCACCTCCGTCTTGCCTGCGGCGAAATTGAGCCTGAGGACTCTTCTCAGAAAGCTGGCAGCGACCACTGCTGCTACCTTGGGCGCTGCTTCGAGCAAGTGCAGAGCTGCTCCTATGACAACAATCGCACCATCATCAAAAAAAGCATACCTCGAGCCCTCCTCGCATAGTGTCGGGAGCTTGCTGCATCATGTCTGACATGGTAGCATGTACTGAAATCGGTATGCGTAGGTCTAGCTCCAGCTCCTGCAGTCCCTGCTGAGCTTCCTTCACACATGCTGCCATTACGTAGTTGAAAATTACGTCGCCTAGCTGCTGTCCTGGTACCGCTCCTTCAAGCGAGAAAGCAACTGCTGACGCTCCTGGATACCAAAACCAATTGCCTGAATAGCTAGAGGCTGTGAGCGCGCGTATGTGTCGTGCTATCCCCGCTTGTTCCAGTAGTGTGTGATGTGCAGCAATAAGAGCCTCGAGGTCCTCAATGGCACCAGGTGGGAGCCCCGCTGTTTGTAGTATGTTGTGTAGGTCCGCATCTGAGGTGCCCAACTGCATGACTAGCTCTCGCACTGCACGGTAAAAAGCTGAAACTGCGTCAAGCATGAAAAAGAGCGCTGATAGCTTGAGCGTCTGTGCGAGTTCCTGGAAGGAGCGTATAGCCAGCGCTGCAAGGTCAACGCCTCTCCCCGCAATTCCTCCATACTGTGCATCCCCTGCATCTGCAGGGATGGCTTCTGCGAGCGGCGCCCGCAGTAGTTGCCGGTATTTTTCCCAGGCTGGGAGGATATCATCACAGACCGATGATTCTTGCATATGGCCGGGGTAGCTTTCTTTTTCCAGATGTTCCAGTAATTGCCCCCCTTCCATTGCAATGGTTCCTCGATGCGGGTACACGCGTTGACCGCCACAGGATAGAACAGGGCTCCCAGGGCCGTGGCAAAACTTCTGAGAAGGGCCCCTGGAATACCATCTAAGCTGGCAGCTGAGGGCTTGGCAGTGCGGCAAGCTCTCTGGTAGTTGGAGAGGGTAGGGAGACGCACTTCCTCATATGGGATGTCATGTGTGAGATCCTGAGGAAGGGATGGAATACTTCGTGCAAATGCGTTGGCTTCGGCAACTGGCACTACCACTCCAACTTCTTCCGCCGCAAAGTGGCGAAGCCATATATCTGCTGATTCCTCATGGGCGGCAGCCATGCTGCCATCCTCTAGCTCCAGGATGGGTAGGGCTCTAGTGTTTACATTCTTAGACGAACCTATTCCCATAGTACGTCGTTTGGCAAACACCTTATCATACTGCCTGCGGTCCCATGCATCCGAGACTCCCTTCGCAAGGTTGTTGTAGTGCTGCATGGCATCTTGCATAGTCGCATGTCGGATCAATAGGGTAGTATGAAAAAGGAGCAGCTCACGATGTGCTAGGACACAAGCACGCACTCTATGCGCATAGTCCCAGCAGCAGGTAATGTAGTTCCATATTCCCGTCTCCATCCCATGTCCCGTTTGATACTCCTGTGGTTTGAAAGGGGGAGGTAGTATGATGGCCGTGACCCCTTGATGACCCCAGTGCGCAAGTAAGCGTGGCTTGCCTATGCCTCTCCCGTTGCCTTGCTGCTTGCGTATGTCGGCTTCTCGGCACAGTAGCGATGCCGTTGCTTGCGGAAGGAGGAGACAAGGTTGCTGTAGCT